ATTATTAAGAACCCTGGTGGCACCGTGGTTAGAATGCAGAATAACACTGTTTGATCCTGATCAGCTCAAAGTTGACTCAGCCTTCTAAGGTGGGTAAAATGAGGACTCAGATTGTTGGGGGCCATATGCTAACTCTAAACCACTTAGAAAGGACCGTAAAGCACTATGAAGTGGTAAATAAGTATAAGTACTATTGCTATTGCTATACTATCCATATTAATCCCATTAGATGAGGATTTTAGGAACTATAGCTCAGCACAAATGGAAGATGACCAGATTGGAGAAATTTAAACTTGAATATGTGTATATGTGGGCCAAACAATAAATATTTTGACAAAAATGAAATATGAGGACTTTGTTCTTAAATACCTTGCTGCTAGTGTACTCACTGTTTATGTTATGGAAGCAACATTGATATTAAATCAATAAATAACTCTCACACTTGAGCAGGGTGGGAATTAAGTATTAATGAATGATTAATTAATTAATTAATCATTAATTAATCATTAATTAATAAGTAACATAAAATTTTCCTGTCCTATGTACACCAGATCTATTGCTCATTTGCAAGGTACAAGGTTATTCTTGTAAATGAAAAGAGAAAACCCGAACACAATTTTATATCGGCCTGTTTAGCTCCTATTTAGCCACTGTTCTTTGTCTTGTTTCTCATATTTTGCCAGATGTTGCCTCTACTGTTTCATCACTTAGGGTTCCAGAAGTTTAAGGATTGCCATGTCTCTCAGTCGAGCTCCGCAGATAATTCCTACATATTTCCCTGCTTCAAGGGCACAGTGGCTCAGTGGTTAAAGACACTGAGCTTGACAGCCCAGATTCAAGACCCCAGCATTACGTGATGCAATGAGCTCCCATTACTTGCCCCAGCTCCTACCCATCTAGCAATTCTAAAGCACGCAAATGTGAGTAGATAAATAGGTACCACTTCAGTGGGAAAGTTGCAGCATTCCACCCACCTAGGCAAATAGACATGCTGGCCACATGACCATGGAAGCCTCTTCGGACAATGCTGGCTCTCTTGGCTAAGAAATGGAGATGAGCACTGGCCCCTAGAGTCAGACACAAGTGGACAGGGGAAACCTTTGTCTTTATTTCTCTGGTCATATAAGCTTGCATAAGCATCCTCAGCATTGTCTGTTGGAATTTGTTGAGGCAGATGAAGGGTACAAGCAAGAATATTGATCTGTAATTGGATGGAATGGATCTATTAAACAGACGAGCCATAATTTCAGTTTCCTTCCACAAGGAAATGCTGCCAGCTAAGTGAAGCTTGAATATCATTTGATTATGCTGAGAAAGAATGATTTGCAAGAGTGCAAAGGGATAAAAATATCTGAGAGCTGCCACTTTTTCCCAATTTGACATATAATTTTGAGAGAAGAGGAAAATAACTCTAAAGTTGGCAAGCAGAAGAGATTACGTACCTTAAGACCTCAACAGTCAGTTTGTCACCCTTTATCCATTACAGATATAATTTAATTTCTTATACTTACATGCCAGCCAATATCATCTAGCAATAATAAAAAAGCAGGCTAGACATATGCTAATCGACAGCTCTGGTAATTACACAATCTTCAAATTAATTAACAAGCCAACGGCAGCCAAACATTAGCATTTAGAAAGAGCTTTCCTGCATTAAGTGCTAATGAGTTCATTTAAATCTATCGCACAACCCATTTTGAAAAGCATGGGCCATATTCAATCAGATTGAATAATGAAATTTGTACCATCAGGCATTGTTGAGTGTGAAATTGCCATGGAATTTTAAATGTTAAATACAGAGGTTATATATATTTTTATGGCGGCTGTTAACTGAATGTCCATTTCACATAAAATGGGTTATAGATATATGAACTGGTGGGTAATTTTAAGCTTTATACATGAATAGATGTCAGTTTGACAGAGGTTCCAGCTGTTTCATTATGGTCACCATTCTCTCTTGCCTGAGGCCTGAACATTTTCCATATTTTTCCAAAAACCATTCATTCATTTGGATTAGAATGTCAGAGGTGGAGGAGAAATTGGGGAAAAGATTTGGGATGAATGTCTTATGCTTAAGTATTCAAAAAGATAAGGTTGAATATAGATCATTCATTAGACATCATGATTATAGGCTGATGACTCACTTCATTCCACCCCCAGGCTGTGCCTGCTGTTTGACAGGGAAACAGAACTATTGTAAATGAAAGGAAATACAACTAGATGAAACTAATTCTATTTTTTTTTTTTTTGGGTCAGGCTACATTAACAGAATCTTCCAAGTCTGAAAGGACAAACCTCCCACAATTGTTTTTAATTGCTTGATCCATTCAAGTAGGCCTTTACTAGGTTTTTCCTCTAACCATTAAGCCATTGGGGGCTCCTCCCTCTCTCGTCTGATTGTTTCCTAGGCAGTCTATCTTCCCCTCATTTCACAGGTTCATCCACACATTTCCACTACAACAATGGATTCTTGAGCCATGGGGTCAAAGCAACTTCAGTGGAAATGATCCAACCAGACCTTTGCATAACGATGGAGCTAGCATGGCTTAACTTCTAATGTGTATTGCTTCTAATCCTAATTAATTAACTCTAATTCTCAAGTAAAGTCTTTACAAGCTGCCCAAGACTTGGGGGGATCTCTTGGCTAGAAGCATGGCAATCTGTCAAGGGTGCTTTAGCAGTCTTTTAATTTACTAACCTGAGCTTATTTTCCCTTCCAACCCTATATTTCTATATTTTTACATAGCCTTTTCTTCTAGAGCAGGGGTATCGAACTCATTGAGGGCTGCATCAGGGTTGTGTTTGACATTGGGGGTGTGTGGTCAGCTCAACGTCACTAATGTTGGGGGCGCCTGTGATGGCCCAAGTGCTCTGCCAGCAAAAAGGAGCTCCCAAGTTCCACTTCTGGCTGCAACGGCCTCCTCTGCCAGTTAAAATAGAGCCTTTGTTTCCGGCTATGATGACCGCCCACAACCCTCTGCCAACAAAAATGGAGCCTGGGAGGGCCACACATGGCCTTCATGAGCTCTGTTTTCTGCTGTAATTGCCTCCTGCAGCCCTCTGCCAGCGAAAACGGAGGCCCGGGGGGATGCATGCGGCCCTCATGAGCTCCAATTCCGGCTTTGATGGCTTTCTGCAACCCTCTGCCAGTGAAAACAGAGCCTGGGAGGGTTGTGCACAGCCCTCATGAGCTCCATTTCCGGCTGCGGCCTTCATGAGCTCATTTCCAGCTGTGATGGCTTCCTGCAACCCTCTGGCAGTGAAAACAGAGCCCTGCTGCAGCCCCCTCAAGCTCCATTTTTGCTTTCAGAGGCACCGTGGGATGGTCCTTTGTTGTTTCCAGGGCAACCCCGGAGGCCAGATCTAAGCACCCCGTGAGCCAAATTCAGCCTGTGGGCCTTGAGTTTGACACCCCTGTTCTAGAGTATTGCTTCTTCTCACCAAATTTTCATTGACAGAGATTTTCCAGGATAGGAAAAGTATTGATGCCTTTGAATTTTGGTGTTAAAGAAGGCATTGGAGAACACTGAGGACAGCCAAGAAAACGAAGCAGTGGATCATCAAAGACATCAATCCAGAGTTCTTATTCAAGGTATAAATGACCAGGCTCAAATTACCATGCTTTGGACACATGATGCGAAGACCCAACTCTCTGGAAAAGGCTCTAATGCTGGGAAAGGTAGAAGAAAAGAGAAGAAAAGGACAATCGGCTGCAAGATGGACAGTTTCAGTTATAGTGAGGATAGCAAAGGTTGGGAGACTTCAAAGAACAAGTTAGGAATGGATCAATATGGAGAAAGTGTATGTATCTGGCATAAATGGCACAAAAAGACACTAAGACTTGTGTACTTGTTACCTAGGTTGAGAAATTATAGATGTTGACTGTTCCGTCTTTAAATTACTGACAGTCAGGCAAACTCTACAAAGGCTTCCATGCAAAGTTTCTTTATTAGATCACAAGGCATTCTCAATGTATAACACACAGTTATGTCGAGATTCATCTAATGTCCAAATCTTTGCATAGTTGACTTCATAGTGTGAAAGTATATGTATCCATGTATTCATAACTATGTTTTTACTTATACCTATTATACCTATTATCTTGTAAGCAATTGACAAACCAAATAAAATAAAAATAAATAAAAATAAATAAAGTATAGTGATCTTCATCCCATAACGAGGGAGCAAAGGGTGTGACACCAGCACGCTGCTGGGGTCCAAGCAGGAGTAAAGGAAACTTCCCCAATCCAACCAAGGGTCAATTCAGTGACCAATCAAGATTACAGATGTGACCACATGACATGAACTACATTTCCCATGATACATTAACTACATTTACCATGAGGCATTCCCTTAAGGGGACAGCTCCCAATTCCCACTTAACTATCCCAATTCCCAATTAACTATATACTGTCTGGACAGCACATTGACTTTAAAACTTTAAACATCGGCCTACCCCTTTCTTCCCCCACTATCTCCTCCCACCACCACCCCAGTAGTCAAAACCCATATCCAGAAATTTTCAGCTTAGGCGCCGGTGTAAATGAAGTGAGAGTTTCTATATCGTTTGTGAGAATCTGTGTCATAAATATCTCCATTAAGTAGCAATTAAGATGCGGAGATTTAGGCTCTGTGTTCTAGGAGGTAATTATAAAAGAATTGGATTAATTAGCCACTGAATTATTTATGTAGACATAAATAATGCACACGCGATTAGTGTTAAATGGGATATTGCTATCCCTATCAGAGAGAGAGAGAGAGAGACAGAGAGAGAGTTAAAGATAAATGGAGTTCAATGTTGCTACTTTAATTCTTTGATCACTGAACAAAAAGCTACAGTGATTGGAATCTCTTAGAACTTGACCACCTCTACATTATGCGATCCAGTGTGTAAGGTGATGATAGTGCTGATTTAGTTTAGAGGTGTCAAACTCGATTTCATTGAGGGCCACATCAAGGTTGTGTGTGACCTTGGGAGGCTGGGGTGGGCGTGGCCAGAGTGGGTGTGGACAGCTCGACCTCACTTGTGTTGGGGTGCCTGTGGCGGCCTGAATGCTCTGTCAGCAAAAAAGGTCTCCCGAGCTCCGTTTCTGGCTGTGATGGTTTCCTGCAACCTTCTGCCAGCAAAAATGGAGCTTGGGAGGGCCGCCCACTGCCGTCCCAAGCTCTGTTTTCACTGGCAGAGGCACCGCAGGCCGGTCCTTTGCTGTTTCCAGGGTGACCCTGTGGGCCAGATCTAAGCACCCCATGGCATGGATCCAGCCCGCATACCTTGAATTTGACACCCTTGATCTAGTACAATGTATTAAAATAGAAGTGGGAAATTTGTGGCTTTCAATATATTACCCAACTACTATTTCCCAGCTAGCGCTTCCAACAGTGAGAGATGATGGGAACTGTACTCAACAAATACTATGGTAATCCACCTAGAAGTAAGTCCCACTAAGTTCAGTAAGATTTATTCCCAGGAAAAGAGACGGAGATTGCATCTTAAATACTTCTTTCTTTCTGCGAAGGTAATCAATCAAGTTTGTTTCTGATGAGATTCAATGCATGGGCAAGAACTCATTTGATTTGATTTGTCCAATTCTCTTTTTTTTCCAGCAATGAGGCAAACAATCAAAACAAGTACATAAAAATTATAACTATTCAGTTACTGGGTTTGTACACCACTGTATAATCAATCTACTTTTACAACAAACAGCATGAAATGACAATTTAGTATTTGCATAGAATATCAGTGTAATTGGAAATATTTAAAAGTTAATAAAGTAATATAAAATAAAATAATAAAATACTATAATAGAAATGGTACAATAAATTAAGAACAAAAACATTGTTCTTCAGAATAGCTCTGTTTTTAATATTTAACTTATATGCCTCCCATTTCACTAAGCAACTAAGGGTAACAGAGTAGAAATGAGTTCGATTTGCAATGCATTACAAAGCAATGTAATATTAGAAGCAATGTAAAGGTAATGGTTTCTTCTGCCCAATCATGTCCAATTCAAGGGGGCATCTCTGTTTCTTAGCCAAGGGAGCCAGCATTGTCCAAAGATCCTTACATGGTCATGTGGCTGGCATTACTATTAGCCAAGGCACACAGAATGCTGTTTTCTTTCATCAAAGTAGTACCTATTTATCTGCTTGCATTTGCATGCTTTTGAATTGCTAAGTGGGGAGGAGCTGGGGTAAATAACAGGAGTTCACCCTGCCCTGTGGTGCTCAGGTCTTGAACCTGGGCTGTCAGTGTCAACATCCAGCTTGACTATCAAAATAAATGTCCAGGATCACGTCTTTTCTGAAAAGCTTACTGTTTATTGAATACATGGCATGGTAATGGTGAGGTAAAACTAACTCTGAATTTCTCAGGCAGCAGTTTACAGAATTAAACAACGAAGTTTTCCAGAGACATTTCCATGGTCATGTGGCTGGCATGCCTATATGCTGAAGTACACAGAATACTATTACCTTCTCACCAAAATGGTGCCTATTTATCTATTTGCATTTATATGCCTTTGAACTGCTAGGTGGGGGCAGGTAACAGGAGCTCACCCCGTCATGTGAAGTTCGGGTCTCGAACCCAACCTGTCAGCTTTTCAGCTGAAAGCTGAGTGTCTTTAACTGCTGAGGCATCACACCCCTCAACAATAACTACTGTATATTGGAAGACTATTTGTGTGTTTATAGCAATGTTGTTGATGAAGTGGCTCCAGTTGTCAACAACTGCAGGCTGACCAATTAAGCATGAAGAGAGTCAGCCAAGTAATATAGGAAGTGGCACTGCATTCATTGTAGACTATTTTTCTAAACCACCTCACTCGTGCAGTTTAATCTGCTTTCTGAGTAAGACCAACTCTATCAAACGGACTCAACGCAATAAATCTTGCATGTAGGTTGTGGCTGAAATGCTTTCAAGAATGCCATCAACTAAGTTGTTTCTGCCTGCCTACCTGCTAAAAGATAACACTTTAATTCGGTTAAGTTAAAATCTCATTGGCTTGGTTGATTCAGGAGGGTGGCTATAAGTGATGGATTGCTTTAACAATTCAATATTTCTCCTTTGTTACCAAATGAAGCTCTAAGATGGTGTCCATACAGTTATAAAAGCAATGAAATTTATTTTTTAAAAAATAAGACAATTTTAAATAGCTGCTTTATAATAAATATACAGCTAGTCCTCGACTTGCAACCAAAATTGGGCCCCAAATTTCCATTCCTAAGCTAGACAGTTAAGTGAATTTTGCCCCGTTTTATAATGTTTCTTGCCACAGTTGTTAAGCGAATCACTGCAGTTATTAAGTGACTCATGAAGTCATTAAGCAAATGTGGCTTTTCACATTGTCTTTGTTTATAGGAAGCCATATTCGCTTAATGATCAAATTGCCAGAGAGAAAATGGCATAGAAAACCAGTCTTCTGTTTAGCAAACTGGGTCCATTGGACTATCACATTTGTAAGGGGAAAATAATGGGGACATTCTTCTAGCACAGTAATGTTGTGGGGGCTGAGATGGGTTCAATATTGACTTTATTTGCCTGAAGCATGTATAACGGAAAAATTGTAACCATCATGTGTATCTGATCAAATGGTAGCTGACATGAACACCTTAGTTCCCTATAATTTGTTTATTATGATTATGAATACAAGAAATGGATATGAATAAAAAGGAACATTAGGACAGGGATGATAGGCATGTTGGTGCGCTTATGCACACACACCCCTACAGACCTCTTAGGAAAGGGGTGAGGTCAACAGTAGACAGTCTAAGGTTAAAGTTTTTGGGGTTTGGGGAAGAAACCACAGAGTCAGGTAGTGTATTCCAGGCATTGACCACTCTGTTGCTGAAGTCGTATTTCCTGCAGTCAAGTTTGGTGCAATTACCTTGAGTTTGTATCTGTTGTGTGTTCTTATATTGTTGTGGTTGAAGCTGAAGTATTCATTGATGGGTAGGACATTGCAATAGATAATTTTATGTACTACACTTAGGTCGGACCAAAAGCAGTGTAGTTCTAGGTTGTCTAAGCCTAAAATTTCAAGTCTGGTGGCATAAGGTATTCAGTTGTGAGTAGAGGAGTGGAGGACTCTTCTCGTGAAATATCTCTGGACTCTTTCAACTGTATTAATATCCAATATGTAGGGTGGGTTCCAGACTGATGATCTGTATTTGAGTATTGGTCTAGCAAATATTCTGTACGCTCTTATGTAGTTAGTAGTGCAATATTATCAGAGAAAAAGCTATGTAGGATCAGTAGTTACAGTGGGCTCTAGCACTTACACCATTAGAGATGAGTATTCCAAGGTCCTTGACATAGTCAAGATCCTTGACATAGACATATAATGCTGAAATGAGGTGGGCTGAGGCTATGGGAAAAGAGGAATTGTATGCTTAAAGTACATGTAGAAATAACCATGTTGTAACATTGAGGTTAAAGGAATGGAAAACTGCCCCTGTTGGTAAGACAGTATGGAGAGATCTCGAAAATCACATGGTTTGTGATTTTAAGGTACAAAAAACAATGGTGAATAATGGGAGGTTGCCAATCAGCCTCAAGCTTCTCTTGAGGCAGTCCCATTAGACTGCTTCTCTGATTGACCCTTGTTACAATGTGATTAATATAAGTGGTTTATGTTTGCTATGCTTTAAATTCTAATAAACCCCTGAATTTTAAAGTGAGATATTTTCTGGTGTTCAATTGTTATTAAGTGCAGCTAAGCTCATAATCACGTCCTCCACCAATGGTCAGCTCCAATAAATCCATAGAATTAGACCATTTTTCTCTCCACCTCCATTCTATTTTTTCTCCATAGGCTACCTTGTTGCTTTTCATATGTGTGGACTTCAACTCCCATAATTCTTTCTTTTTCAGGCTTCTCCTGCCAGTTTTTTTTTTTTACAAGAACTATTCTGCTAATAGACAGATCAACAGAGTGCTGTTGATAAATTAACATTTTTTCCCAACCCTATGTGATGTTGGTCAGTAAAAACCTTGGCTAATAAAAACCAAGCATTAATGATCTTTTCCCCATTCTAGAGAACAGAACAGTGGGACTTTGTTTCAGAATAGAGGGGGTCTTTGACTTATCACTACAAAATGAGCCCAATATTTCTGTTTTTACAACTATTTTACAACTTTTCTTGCCAAAGTTGTGAAGCGAATCATGGCAATACCTCTGAAATACAGGATGAATGTATGAATTCATTCTTTTGTTCAATAGTTATTTAACTGAAGTGTCGGCAATCAAGATGCTTTACAGTAATCCATTTGAATGAACTTCTCCTTGCTGCTAACTGCACATTATCCTTCCTGTCACTAGATGGCACTTGTGTTCTGTAATAAGCCTATTCTGAAAAAGCACCATTGGGGAGGTCTATCCTGCTGACCGCTATTTCACTCTATTTTTAAATGTTGCATTTATTTTATAATATCAGAACTTTTATTATACCTAATTATCCCTGCTAAATGGGCAGGCATCTCTGAAAGACTTTAATCAGTACAATTTGAAGTTAAAAAAAAAAATACAATATGACATACACACGCAGGCCCGCGCACCATCACAATTGGCACTGTTTTCTTTTAGCACACAGCTCTGAACATGCTGTTTTGAAGAGAGCTTTATTGCTTTGTATATATACATGTCTTATGAACAATCAACAACTGCAGAAAATGGCTTGGAGAACATCACGGGGTCACTAAATTATAGGGGCAGAAAATGGCTTCATCTCCTCCAATCTTCTTTCTGACTTTCATGTCACATCACCTCCGGGTTTCTGCCTGCTCTCCAGTTCTGCCTGCTAATTGGGATTATCCAACCAAGGCTCTTTCATTCATCTTGTGCTATTGTGCAATACTCTTAGAGAAGGGATCTACATCTGGAGAAAGGAAGCAGGGTTTTATTTTATTTATTCAGCGTATGGCAAAATTGTTAAAATAAAGGAAGTAAGATGTTTACTGCAGTCATTTCAGTGGTGGTATTCTACCGGTTTGGCCCGGTTCGCCCGAACCGATAGCTCCGAGGATCATCTGTGAGCAAACCGGTTTGCTCCGAGGATCAGCTGCTGGGCCCTCTCACCTGCCCTGGCTCTATACTGATCTTTATTTTCTGCTTTTGAAGCTTAGCTGCTTTGTGCGGCA